AGAGGGGATGTCAAACTGCATGTAAACTTTTGCAATAATTTTAGACATTGTGTACAAATCATAACGATTCATGTTTCCGGATTTTCGGACCCCGCGAGATTTTTAGGCTAAGGGGAATTTCTCCTGAACCCTGTTATGGATGCTCAAAATTACTTTCTTCTTTTTTTTTTTTTTTCTGGAGATTTTCACTGTGAACAGGATTTTTTATAGAAAAGACGCAATGACTCAAAAAGCATGTGGAAAAAACTTTATTTGGTCGCAATAAAATACGTCTGTTAAACCTGCTGGTAAATAATTATTTTTCTCCGTCTTGCAAATACCAGTAGTTCGTCAAAGCATTTTTATCATGCATTTGTTAACCAGAGCGCTGTCCCTCAAACATTTCTTTGAATCATTGGGTATGTAAGAAAATATGGAATGTTCTGGTGTGAAATGCGCTGTACTGTCCGATTCGAGATTTCTTACTGAAAAACTGGATCAGTCATACACACCAGGGTGAACTGGTATCAATATCATGGGATTTTCAAGGCAGCGGAAGGCCGATTTTGTTTACTAAAAAACGGTTGGTAAGCATGAGTTTCGCGGAAATTTCGGAACGGCGTTCAATAAGAGAATTGAAAAGGCTTAAGCCCTTCTTGGTTATTGGTTTACCACTTGGTCGACCTTCTGTACGCCAGGACAGTGAAAGTAATCCTTGTTTTTCAGAAGAAATGTAATACTTTCGACCTCAGGTGAATGTATTTCCTCGGGATGAATGCTGGAAGAACTTTCGCTTTTTTCGACCTTGTCCATTCCTGGTATATATACACAGTTTTCATCTCATGCGCAACTCATCAACTGCGAGATATTTTCCTTCGTTCGCATTCGACCGGTTATAACCCTACTCCATAAGATCGTGTGCAAATATTATTATGAGGCATTTATTCTCAAGTGAGGAAAGAGCGAAGTTTTTCGAAAAATCTATGGTCTTAAGTTCATTTACTTCCTGTGTTCAACTTAAAATTTAACGATTTATCCATTTATAGTAAAAGTTTTGCGTGGTCATCCCGGGATATTTATGTGCTCCATAAAAAGATCCCGCAGGAGCAAAATGCAGCAGACCTGAAAATCTCGCGGGGTACGAAAATGCCGCAGCAGGAACAAAACCCCATGTACAGTACTGTACTACGAAATTTTAAATATTGTGTCTGGCCTGTAACAATGTATAAAATGTCAATACAAGATAGCGAGAAGAAATCAGTGCATTTATTCCTTAATATAATGGTTTTTTGCGTGGAAATCTTGGGAGTTAAAAAAAATGCGTTTTAACGATATTTATCATGTATTTGACATTGATTATTCAGAGGGAATGACTGATTATGCAGAGGGGATGTCAAACTGCATGTAGACTTTTGCAATAATTTTAGACACTGTGTACAAATCATAACGATTCATGTTTCCGGATTTTCGGACCCCGCGAGATTTTTAGGCTAAGGGGAATTTCTCCTGAACCCTGTTATGGATGCTCAAAATTACTTTCTTCTTTTTTTTTTTTTTCTGGAGATTTTCACTGTGAACAGGATTTTGCGCGAGTGTTTCTGCTATGGAGGAAGATCGAGAAGTTGGCAATACCATCAAGTCTGAAGCGAAAGCCATTTACCTGGAGTTAATTGTTGAAGACTCTGAGAGTCGTCGTAAACTTCAATTTAGATCACCAACAACTTCACCCCCCTTCAAACTCCGTGGACTGGATTCAGTGCAAGATCATCAAATGCCGTTGGAGTTCTGGGAGGAATTCCCTCGACAGCAGTTCCTCATTGCAGCTACTGACGCCTTTTACAAGAGACCCCACTATCAAGTGAGTAAACATTAAATTATTTTTAAAACAAATTCTTTTGAAGATTTTTTTTTGAGCATAACACACCTTTTCCCAATTACTGAAAGAAACGGAATGGCGTACATGTTTAAGCAGCCTCGTTATTACAATATAAACTTTTCAATCCAGTATAAAAAACTTTCCAAGGAAGGTAGTTATTTTTCTTGATAAAAAAAGCCTGATAAAGTCGGTCACATTTCTGTCGATGTGTTGTATCAACCGTCTTCTTTTTTCTTAAAAAAAAAACCAGGTGCTTAATCGACTGAGAGAATGGGGTTTTGAGTTGCAAGCGTTCACCCGGGATTTCTTCGATCGAAACAGGCATTATTATAGTGCTGTACTCCTTCACTATGTCTTATGTCGATACCCGAGCACGAGCACTTCTGCGTCCAGTGCTCATCAAACGGACATTCAAGACATGACAGTTGAAGTTTCTGCAAACAAACAAGAAGATGCATCATCCTCGAACTCGTCAGGACCTACTGTTGTTCCTAGCCCAATAATGAACGCACCAGAAGATCCATCATCAGCACAGGAAAATATGGCTGAAAAGCCTGTGCGAGACGTGCCATCCGACGGTGTACCAGAGGAATCACTGGTTTCCGAAATGATTAAATCGGGGGTTACTTTCTCCTCTTGTAATTTCTTTTTTGGTACGCAACTACCATCGAGCCCCAAGCCCTAAATGCGATTGTTCGTTGTCATGCAAGCAAAATATATTTCTGGTTCGTTGGCAATATTCTAAAAAGTGTGTATATATGAAATGTTCCATGGAGTTCGCATAGTCGATTGAAATTGTTTTGTATTCACAGTATCTCTGCGTGTTTATTATACAGTACTCAGTGAGGTTCGAATTTCAAATTTTCTGCCATGCTCGTTATCATATACAATAATGATTCCTAATGTTCACACATAAGCCATGAAAAACAAATTGATGGAATTGCAAGATCAACGTGCTTATTCATCTGTTGTAGCAAAAATCACTTACCTAGGACATGCTTGACCAGCACATTACACTAAACGTTGAATTATTTTGCCATGCGCATATACTGTACAGTAGAAGGTCTAACGTACCCTTCTTTTGTGAAAATACTGTCCTTTAATGCTCCCATGTATAACCTAAGCTTAATCAGATTGACGTAATTTTTTTTTAATCGAGCTACTGAAAGTATGATCACATCGGTATACTTTCGTGTTTCTGGAAGCGTTTTACTTTTACAGCGATCGAACGCCCCATGGGAGGAAATCACTGCAGCTGTCGTGTTCCTTTTTATTTTTTGGAGGGAAGGATTGAAGTGAAAGTAACCCTGTATGTGAAATTCTATTCCCGGGGAGGAAATGCACAGCTTTCTTTTTCCTTGACCTTATCTGTTGACGGTTTCAACTGAACCTCAATACAGTATTAAGAAGCTGTCCTGGAAAAACACTGCATAAAAATAATAATTTAATTGATCATCAGGATGGCTCAGGTTGTTCAGGGACAAAAATTGAAGGACAAAATCATGGCAAAAGGGGAGACTTTTCAGACTATTCAAGCTCAATGCAGCAGGTTGCTGAAAAGTGTGATGTTGGAGACCCTCATGGTAGGTTCCGGGGACTTCCACTTTTGAAACCCCTTCGGGTCTTCCCCTTTTCCTTTCATTAACTAAAACACTGGCAATTAGCGTCAGTTGAAACTGCTGGCCAAGTTAGAAGGCCAGCAGAAAGTCGACCCTCCAAAAAGGAGAAGTTGTGGGGACTAATCAGCATCTTGATTGGGCAAAGTGGAGAAAGAACTGTTGAGGAATTAATCAACCCAACGAAGAGAATTGAACCATTGTGCCATGGAAGAAATTGATAAGAAATACTCAGTCAGGGCAATCAGCTGCTTTGCAGCCGGGAATTTGTAATTAAGGGTACTCTGATTAAATATCCCTATGGTTTTTTTCTGGTTTAATCACAGTCCAGATTAAATGCAACAAAACACATAACAAAAAAAAATGATACACACATTCAATGGAACCAATAAATTTGTTCATACAAATTTTTAGGGTGCAGTAATGCATTGCAACAATTCAATCAAAAGAAATGGGGTTGAATTGTTTAGGGGAAGTTTAGTGTAAGATCTAATCTTATGAGGGGTGGTTATGGGGAGTGGAAGAGTGCTGGGTTTTTACTGGATTTTGCTGTACATGCCTTGGTCAGGTTACCTGACCAAGGCACTTAACTTTTTCCCCACCCTGTAATTGGAAGGAGAAATGTGCATGGAAGAAGTCCTGCATCCGGGGAAGGATGCACTAAGGAAAACAGGACCAGAATTCAGGTCTTGGGACCTGACGTCCTTGGGCCCGAGTTCTGTGGTTCCCCAACAAGCGCGCCTCCATCAGGGCTTCAGGAAAATCCGCGGTTCGGAGCAATTCAACTGAACCTAAATAGGGAATTATATTAGGAAACATTCTACTTGTTTTAGTGTTGTGTGGTGGTTATAAGTCGCCAAGAGGATGCCTCGCATCAACAGAAAAAAAACGAAAATTAATATCGCGACGTTGGTGATGAAGTGAGAAATCGAATGAGGAGGAAGGCGAGGAACAAATATTTCTTAATGCCGGTGCTCATAAGTGAAATTTTAAGTATACATAGCTATACACGTATAGAAAGACGAAGAGCATGTGGAATTTGATGGTCTCTTAATTCCTCGGGAATCTTCAGTGAAGCTCGAAAATCAATCCAGGGTTGTTCCTGTATTCTTTGTTTCTTTTCTGTTATCCGTCGCAAAAAGAACAAACCCAGCATGTATGTACAACGAAATTGTAAATCAGTGTGTCTGGGCTATAAGACTGTGTGAAATGTCGATACAAGTTGGTGACGGATAAAAGTGCATTTATTCTTCCGTAATGGCCTTAGTGTGGAAATCTGGAGGTTGAACGTTTGCTGAATTTTAAAAATGCGTGTTTACGATATATATCATGTTTTTATCATTGATTGTTCGGAGGGGATGAAATATCATTATCAAACTGCACTTTGATTTCTGCAATAATTTAGAAATCGTGTACAAATCATTACGATTCATGTTCTTGAATTTTCGGACCACGCGAGACGTTATTAGGCCTAGGGGATTTTCTCTTGCACCCAGTTTATGGATGCTCGAAATTACTTTCTCCATGTCTTTTTTGTTTCTGTTTTCTAGAGATTTTCACTGTGAACAGGATTTTGCGCGAGAATTTTGGCTATGGAGGAAGATCGAGAAGTTGCTGGTGATGAGAGTAAGCCTGAAGCGAAAGCTATTTATCTGGAGTTGATTGCTCAAGACCCTCGTAGTCTTGGGCAAGTACAAGGTTTTGGCCAGCCACCATCACCCAATTTCAAACTCTGTGGACTGAATTCAGTGCAAGATCATCAACTGCCGTTGGAGTTCTGGAACGAATTCCCTCGAAAGTTTCATGCTACTGACCCCTTTTACCAAAAATCCCACTATGGAGTGAGTACATTAAATTCTTTTCGAAACAAATTGTGTAAAAGATTTTTTGCAGTATCACACACCTTTTCCCAATTCCTGGCAGAAACGGAATAGCGTACGTGTTTCGGCAGCAGTCTCTTTATTGCACTGAACTTTCCAATTCATCCAGAGTAAGATACTTTTCAAGGAACGTGGTTATTTTTCTTGATAAAATATGTCTGATAAAGTCTGGCACATTTCTGTTGATACGTTATTTCGTTTTTACGGTAAATGTCGTAAAAATGCATTTTCAAAATTCAACAAATTTTTAAACTCAAATATTTCTACGCGAAAGCCATTGTGGAAGAATAAATGCACTGTTTTTTTTGTCGCCATCTGGTACAGTATTGACATTTTATACACTGTTACAGCTCAGACACACTATTTACAATTTCTTATCAAACGTGTTCTTTTTTCTTTTAAAAAATGCAGGTGCTGAATCGACTGAGAGATTGGGGGTTTGAGTTGCAAGCGTTCACCCAGAATTTCCACGATTTTAGCAAAACTACGAAAATTGAAACCCGTCACTATATCTTATGCCGATACCCGAGCACAAGCACTTCTGCGTCCAGTGCTCGTCAAACGGACATTCAAGACATTGCAGTTGAAGTTCCTGCAAACAAACAAGAAGATGCATCATCCTCGAACACGTCACGACCTGTTGTGCCGAGCCCAATAAAGAATCTACCAGAAGATCCATCATCAGCACAGGAAAATATGCTGGCTGAAACGTCAGTGCCAGAGGTACTATCAAACGAGATTTCAGACAAATCAGCAGTGGTTTTCGGAACAATTAAACCCGGGGTTACCCAAAATTTTACCTCGTGTAATTTCTTTTTCGGGACGCAATCATCGAAATCCAAACCCTAAATGCGATTATGTTCGTCGTCATTCAAGTAAAATATATGTTTGATTCATTGGCAATATTGTAAAAAGTGTATACAGTATATGAAATGTCGTATGGAGTTCGCATAGTCGATTGCAATTCTTTTAAATGTACAGTATTTCTGCGTATTTTTTTAAATGCTCAGTGAGGTTTGAATTCCCGATTTTCTGTCATGCCCGTTATTCGTGCTCTTCTCTGTACTGAGATCATTTCGTCACGCTCAACGCGGGAGTGTTTTGTCATGAAGTAAAATTTTTAAAATTATTGTATTCAACTTGTACGCAGCACGGTTATATGATGAATTTATAATGTCAAAACCTCATAGAATAATGAGGAATGGAAAACAAATTGATGGAAATACAAGATATATGTGATTACTATCTGTGGTTGCGAAAATCACTTACCTTGACGTAATGGGATTTTTTTAAAGGCGATGTTTTTGTGTTTCTTGGAAATTGTATGCAACAATTTCATTTTTTCATTGGAGAAATTTCAATCAATGTTGTCTCTACTCAGAATAAACTTGCTTGAAAAAAATTTTTTTTCTTCCTTTGCTCGGGGTTCGGAGAAGTCAAATGGTAATTTCTGATCCCACGCGATTTTCTTTCGTCACTTGGACTATTTGGACTCAGATTATTTCATAAGAAGACTCCGAAAAATAGTTGCCTGAATTTCACTTGCATTCATGTTGGATTAAGTGTCTGGCATTTCAGTGAGGAGGTTGTCAAACACAGGAATCGAAATTCAGTGAAAGGATTGCAAAAAAGAGAAAGGAGAGACTTTCAATTTTCCACAAGCTTCAGAAGAGACGTCCTAATGAATTTCATGTATTTCTTTGTGATAGCCAAAGTGAAGAAACAACCTAGCTTGATATTTTATCTGGCAGTGAAAAGAAAATGTGGCTGTGATGGTGGATATGACTTGTTTCTTTGAAATTAAAAATATATTGGAACTGACTTTTCAAGGCGAAATAATCATTTATATAATAGAATAGAATGAGAATATCTTTCATTTTTATTGGATGCCTAATTTTCAGTTGTCTCATATGTCCTTTGTCAGTGGTGCGGGGGAAAATTCAAGAGACAAGATCATTATAAGTACAGTATTTATGCACTTGAACAATTTCTGTTAATTTTACAATTAATCCGATTATTTTCGACAATTTGAATTAGAAAAACTTTTTCAAGTCCCATTTTTCTATTTTGAAAAATTAACACTTTTGTCTCACTTCGTTCGATACCAGAATAATTCAAGTACTACAACATCGCAGATGATGGCAATATGCTTTTTGATTGACATAAATCATGAGATTAAATTTTAGGGAAAAATATTTGTGAACTTTTTATTTCCCATCTGAGGCCTGATAATTTCTGAGACCATCGTAATCTTCATTGTGTTGCTTATCGGCTTTGTAACAAGTTTGTACAGTACCGGAGAGATTAAAACTCTGCTGTGCATGTGAAAAGTATATCCATTCCAAAGTTTACTTCTAAATTTAATCTTATGTTATACAGTATAAGTCGCCAAGAGGATGCCTCGCATCAACAGATAAAAGGAAAATTAATATCTTGACGTTCGTGCTGAAGTGAGAAATCGAATGGAGAGGAACAAATATTTCTTAATGCCGGTGTTCATAAGTGAAAATTCATCTTGTGTTGTTTTAATCACAAATTAAAGTACATATACAGTATCTGCATGTATAGAACGACAAAAATTCAGTGGAAATGATGGTCTATAATTCCTCGGAAATATTTTTCGCAGGGAACCTCTGAAAAGGTGTTGTTCCCGTATTTTTCGTTTCTTTTCTGTGAATCGCGAAAAGGTAAGTTTTATGAGATTAACCGCCGATTATTATCAAGGGAAAGAATTTCGTTGTAGGGGAATTCCGCTGGGTCAACGGCTATGTATCTTCACGTTCAGTTCGTGAACAACCTTGTACCTGTGTTGGAATGCGATATAATTGGATTGGACTCTGTGCCAGTTGATCTTATGCCCAGTGAATTCTGGGAGGAATTCCCTCGACAATGTCCACTCTATGCTGGAGATCCCTTCCAGGTGAGCAAAGTGAACCCTTAGTTTACAAAGCGCTTGGTTAACAAACTTTTTGTTTGAGGAAAAATCTCGAAATTTGAGAAATTGATTTTTAGGCTAAATTTTATGATGCAATCCAAGTGCAAATATTTTAACTCCGCACTCTTATGCAAATTCTTTCCTCCCAAAATGTAAATAAGTTAAATTGTATGTTCAATTCTTTTTGTCATTCTATTTATATGCTATTCTGTGACAGAATTACTTGCTTTTCTGTTATTGCTGGTTTTGTGTTCATTATCTTCCCCCTAAGTTTCCGTATAATACCATATTTACTCAAGTACCACATGCACCTTTTTTCTTGAATTTCAGAAGAAAAGAAGGGGTGCATGTCATAAGCGGGTAAAAATTTTTCAAGAAGTTTTAGAAAGTTCTATGTGCATTATACTTTATCAAAATGAAGAAATTTGGAAAAGAAGTGACAAGAAAACTTTTTTGTACAGTACTGAAAAAGTTGAAAATTGGTCAGATTTTTGTTAAATTCATGTCTAAGGTCAAATTTTTTGTTTCTATTTTTGAAATTTTCTGGTTCTGAATTTACTAAAAATTGGGGTGCAAGTCATACTTGGGGATAAGATTTTAGCCAAATTTCCAACTGAAAAAACCCTGTGCGCGCCTTATTTGAGGGCGCGTGGTACTTGAGTAAATATGGTATTACTCAAAAATTGCATTAAAAGTTTGTGTAAAAAGTTGTTACCATAAGTTACCAAAGTTAGTCAAAATGAATCAAATGGCTACAAATGTCTTTTTATGCAATAGACTCAAAATGCTTCAAATTTCAAGGGTTAAGGTACTCTAGATTGAGAAGTTATTAACTCTACAGCCTGGGTGATGTGAAGTAAAACACTTCTCTGTAATATGCAATAGAATGTATTTTAGTATGAACCATATACACAACAAATTCTCCACAGACAATGAATACCAAGGATGTGTTAGGACACAACCTTTATAGTTTGCGCAATACTGGGTGAGTGACTGGTCATGAACCAAAAGTAAACTGGATCTAAATGGGCTGCATGACCACAAGGTTTTGTTATAATAGTGTTGTGTCAGAATGAAAATTAGGATGGGTTCCATTTAAGAGTAGTACAACCCATGGGTATTTTAATCATGTTGTGGGACACCCAATTAAACCTCAGATGACAAAGTGTTGACAAATGGATGCATTTTTGGTCTCCAGCAGATTTGAAGATATGGGTGTGTTTTTCTTTTGCATTTGTCATCTTCAGGATTTACAGATTGAACTAGCCCTGAAAATGAATTTATTATGGTTTACAAATGAATGTATACTGCACTGGTGTAAATTATCATGCGAGTCAACATATATTAACAGGTCACAAACATATCAGTTCATGAATTATGAAGCTCATATAAAAACTCTTTCCTTTTTTTCTCTCTAAAAATAAATTCAGGTATTGAATCGGCTGACTTCATTTGGATTCCAGTTCAAGAGTGTTCTGCAATTTACTCGGGATTCTAACGTTCGTGGCAAGAAATATGATGAATATTTCTGTTATGTCCTATTCCGGGACCCGAAACCAAGTGTGTAACATTCCAGCTCGCAAATAACGGACATCACGGATTAAGGATGACGAAAAATAAGGATCATCCTCCGATAATCCACCTGCTGACGATCATTCGCACACATTGAATCCATTGGAAAGGACCAGTGCTGAAGACTTATTACAGTATTGCTGGCAAATATGGGTTCGAATATTCCCAGGTTTCAGATGATGTCCCCAAAATATCGCCTGCGGCTATGGTTTCTTTCGACGCATCGCTCCATTCATCAGGTGCATAAATTTCTTTTTCTTCTTGCAATTTTTTTCTCGCAACAAAACACCGTCAGGCATGTAGTAATTCATTTCATCTCGAATAATATGTTTTTTTCGGGTGTTGGGTTTGGGATTTATTTTTTTGACTGTGTCGTCGTCAACCGAAAGTTTTTCCTTGACTGGAAGCGCCTTTTTTTAAAATAAGATATCTTGCTTGATTGGAAAACGCACTATTTGGCTAAAAAAAATTTTAATATTCCGCATTTTTTCACTGCCTAATGTTGGCATGGTGTAAAAATACTGTAAGTATATTCATTTAATTGTTACGTGCTTCGATCATTCAAGCCTTTCACGTGTTTCTGTCGATGATCCTGGAAAATAAACTGATATGTATGTAAGATCTTATATGTTTTCTGCGTTTGATTATTTCCCGTATTCCGTTGAAACCATGATTCATCGATGAACTGATGTGCTTCTTTGAAAAAAGGTTTTTTTATCGCGGCTGAGCTTTTTCATTTTTTGCCGAAAAAATTAAAAATTCGGCATGGCTGAGCTACAGTATATTCACACTTCCATCCGACCATTCTGCGATTGTTCTGAAGAAATAAACTTTGATATATTTGTGACGGCTCATGCTACCTATAGCAAACAAAAACCGTCAACGTTCATTTCCAATTTGGCAGAAAACGTTATGCGATGTATTGCAAGAGATGGATTCTCCTTCATACAAGATCCCGTAGATTTCATGAAATATGGCGTTCGGGAAAATTGACAAGGGATTTATCTATCCTGTATGACGAGACCACATTCATAGTGACATTTTTTGCGTTCATCTTACAGAAAGATACAGTTGTGCGGGGGTGAACTGTGCAATGAATTTTTTCTCCTGGTGGATTCATTCCTTACAAAATTGGGCCCAGGAGAATATCTTGTAGGTCCTGGCAATAAACAGGTAGAAATGGAACCAGCAACAAACTGTCCCCAGGGAGAGGCAGGTGTAGGATTTTAAACTCATAAAGCAGAATTTTACAAGCCCCCAGTGAGCAAGAAGTTGTCCGGTTACATCCAAAAATCCTCCAAAATGGATCCAATTCTGATCCAAAACCCTTCCAAAAGCAGTCCAAATTTTTTTGCCTAAGTCGGACTGCAGCGGACTACAGGTTTAGACAAAATTTTGGATCAGATTTGGATCCATTTTGGAGGATTTTCTGACAAGTTTTGGAGCAATTTTGGAGGGACTTGGGATCATTTTGGAGACACATTGGATTAAATTTGGAGGAACTTTGGATTCAATTTGGAGAGACTTTGGACTAATTTTGGAGGAAATCTGGATGTGCTTTGAAGGGAATTTGGGTTTGTTTTGGAGGGACTTTGGACCCATTTTCCAAGGACTCTGGATTGAATTCTGAAGGCCTTTTTTATTTCTCCCAAGCCAATCTCTTTCACAGCAACCTGGTGTTCTAACACCAGCCCAGATGCAAAGAAAAAAAAGGAGTTGATGGGTATTTTTTTCCAAATATTTTTCCTGACCTGGGAGAAAAATAGCAGAATTTATATGGCTCTGGTTTTATCCATCAGCCATGCACCCTGGAATTTTTTTCCAGCACAGACAGGGATATTGTGAATAATTTCCAGAACTGCCACCCAAGGGTGGAAAAATTTCTTATAAGCCCCTTAATTTGAAAGTGTTCAGCTCTGGGGTCACCAAATATAACAAAGCTATTCAACAAAAAGGAAATTTCTGTGTTCTTCTGAGACAATTGCCTCAGAACACAGAAATTTTGTCATTGAAAATAGATTTCCTGGCATTAAAATTTATGTGTTCTGAGACAAAACAAAAATTTCTGTGTCCTGAGACAATTGTCTCAGAACACAGAAATTTTCATGCCATGAAATTTATTTTCAAAAATTTTTAGGTTAGAAATTTTTAAATCAGGAAAAATTTAAACACCAAGAAATTTCTGTGTTCTGAGACAATTGTCTCAGGACACAGAAATTTTCCTTTTGTCTCAGAACACAGAAATTTTAATGCCAGCAAATTTATTTTCAAAATTTCTAGGTCAGAAATTTTTAATTTATGAAAATTTTCAATGCCAGGAAATTTATTTTTCCACCATTGGGTGGCAGTTCTGGAAATTATTCACAAAATCCCTGTCTGTGCTGGAAAAAAATTCCAGGGTGCATGGCTGATGGATAAAACCAGAGCCATATGAATTCTGCTATTTTTCTCCCAGGTCAGGAAAAATTTTTGGCAAAAAAATACCCAACAACTCTTTTTTTCTTTGCATCTGGGCTGGTGTTAGAACACCAGGTTGCTGTGAAAGAGAGTGGCATGGGAGAAACAAAAAAAGTCCTTCAGAATTGAATCCAGAGTCCTTGGAAAATGGGTCCAAAGTCCCTCCAAAACACACCCAAATTCCCTTCAAAGCACATCCAGATTTCCTCCAAAATTAGTCCAAAGTCTCTCCAAATTGAATCCAAAGTTCCTCCAGGAAATTTATTTTCAAACACAAAATTTCTGCATTCTGAGGCAATTGTCTCAGAACACAGAAAATTCCTGGCAATAAAAATGTTCCTGAATCAAACATTTCTAGCCTAGAAAAATTTGAAAATAAATTTCCTGGCATAAAAATTCCTATGTTCTGAGACAAATGTCTATCTTTCCTAAATTTTAAAAATTAAAGATGTCTGTGTTCTGAGACAATTGTTTCAGAACACACAAATAATAAAAAAGTTTATAACCTAAACATTTTTGAAAACAAATTTCCTGGCAATAAAATTTCTGTGGTCTGAGACAAATGTCTCAGGACGCAGAAATTTTCCTATATTAAAAATTTCTGTTATGAGACAGTTGTTTCATAACACAGAAATAAAAAAAATTCTCACCTAAACAATTTTGAACATATATTTCCTGTCATTAAATTTTTTGTATTTTAAGACTCTCAGGAATTGAGTTGAAAGGTGTGCAAAACAATAGGCTTGCAAAATCCATAACCCCCTCAAGAAACTGAACTCTTGCCTGAGGGTGTTGATATTTCTTAAAATTAAAAAAAAAGCATGGAGAACTTCACAGCCCATATAACCCTGCTTCAAGTTTGAAGTTTAAAAACAAGAAAGGTGACCTTCCTGCAGGCCTCTCTGGGACTCTGTGGGAGGGAGGTAAAGGGCAGGAAGAAAGAGAGCACCTCAAAATTAAAAAAAAAGGGTGTGAAG